GGGCGTTGGGGCTTTACCACACTGGTAGAGAGACCTGCAGGGCCAAAGGGGGAGGCTGTGAGAATGCAGGGTGCAGCCTGGTGGATGGGTCAGCTGAAGACCCTCTTTTTCAGCGCCCTCTTCCCTGCATATCTTCTAGGAGACTGAGGGCCCACGGTGGCCCAAGGACACACAAACCAGGAATAAGGATGAACAAGGACAAGTGTGGTGTCTATGAATGCCTGTGGGGGAGGATTGGAAAGGAAGTCAATGCAGACGGAGAAGTGTAAAAGCTCAGAGACCCAAAATGGCAACAGGGAAGAGGCAGCCAAGTTCCCTCACCAAGCCTCACCTCCTTCAGGAAGCCTTCCTGGACTGCCCAAGCACACGGTGTGCACTCCTCTAAATTCTTTCTGCTCATCTCCACTCACTTCTCCCAAGCTAAATTCTACTTCTGTGGCTCAGCTGTAAATTTGCTGAAAGCAAGGAAGATCTCTACCCATCCACCTACCTACCTACGTCTTCTCCCTAATGCACAAGAGAGATTCAAGACCTCTTTTTGGCCAAAGCAGGCTCTCCTGGGCCTAAATAGCCTGGTTCCATTCCCTTGTTCTTTCACTCAGCTCAGACCCAACCTCCAGGTACCTCCCTCTGGCCTCCGAACACTTTCCTCTTGACTTGGTCAATGTCAGCCCCGGGCCCCTGGCTTACACCCACAGTATCTTTTATCTGTAGAGGTGACTCACAGGAACAGGATCCAAGAGTGAATATGACCCCACAAAGATGTCCCCATTCTAATCCCTGAAACCCAAGAACACGGAACCATAAATGGCAAAAAGGACCTTGCAGAGGCAGGCAAGTCAAGGCCCTGAGGTGGGGGTGACCTTGGGTTTCCCGGGGGCCCGGCATCCTCACAAGGTCCTCACGAGAGGGAGGCAGAGGGTGGGAGTCCCAGAGATGGGCAGACCCCGCACTGCTGGTGGTGAGGATGGAGGAGGGGCCGCGGGCCAGGAAAAGGCATGAGCCGGGTCTCCCTGGGATCCCCAGGGGAACACAACCCTCCATCTTATACTTAGAATAATACTTAATGATTTATATACTTATTTTATTTTTATTTTATTTATTTATTTTTTAAGGATTTTATTTATTTGAGAGAGAGAGAATGAGAAAGAGTGAGCACATGAGAGGGGGGAGGGTCAGAGGGAGAAGCAGACTCCCTGCCGAGCAGGGAGCCCCATGCGGGACTCGATCCAGGGACTCCAGGATCATGACCCGAGCCGAAGGCAGTTGCTTAACCAACTGAGCCACCCAGGCGCCCTATCTACTTATTTTAAAGAAAAAGAGAGAAGGGATGGAGGAGCAGAGAGGGGTGGGGGAAAGAATCTCAAGCAGACTCTGCACTGAGTGCAGAGCCTGATGCGGGGCTCGATCTCACAACGCTGAGAACACAACCTGACCCGAAATCAAGAGTCGAACAGTTAGCCAACTGAGCCCTCCAGGAGCCCCCCTTTTATACTTCTGACGTCAAGAACTGCACGGTAATAGACTTGCATCATTTCAACCACTGACTCTGGTGCTTGGCTACAGCGGGAAAGGAACACGTCAGGGGCAGGCCGGCTCTGCCGTGGACCTGCAGTGGGACTCGGAGTCACCCCTAACTCTGTACGAACCCAGACCTGTCCCTGGCTTGGTTCTTGTTCTTGACGAGCACATGAAGCCCTCGCACCTGGGAACCAGCAAAGCGACCTTCCAGATGGCTGCTGAATCAGGAACTTATACCTGTCAAGGGGTCGGACTTTTATTACACGAGTCCACCTGGAGCTGCCAACTTTTAAGTGTCGTGAGACAAAGCGTGAGAGACAAGCACTGTCTACCGTGGCAAGCACTCTGTGAAAAAGAATCTTTCACCCTGAAGAAAGGAGACCATGCTGCCAGGGCCGCCCCGGCCTGAAACACCAGGGCGTCACCTGTGCCATCTTCCGTGAGACCAGGGAGCACTGCGCCCCAACAGCCCCGGGGGCCTGCAGCCGCAGTCTGCCCAGAGCTCCGTGGTGCCCGCTGCCAGACCTGGCCACAGGCTCCTCGGCGGAGGCCAAGCACTGCCTGCACCTGCTGGTGGAACACCTGACTTTCCCTGCCGGAGACTCAAGGTTTCTGGGCGGAGGGACAGAAACTCCCGTGGGGAGGGGGAGGGACGCTACCAGCCCGCTCGCCTCCACCAGCAGCACAGAAGCGCAGCAGGGATGGGGGCCTGGGAGATGTCTTTCCCACAGGTCCTGAGTGACTTACAGGCCTCCGTGGAGAGAGAACACTCACTTCTCAAGGCCGTTACAGGACGGCGTTCACCTGAACAACGAAAACTGGGTGCTTCTGGGGGTAGGAGTGTGCTCTGAGCAAGTCAGCAGCCAACCAACAGGTGGATGAGATCCTGCTGTCTTCTGCCTAATGCACAAGAGAGATTCAAGACCTCTTTTTGGCCAAAGCAGGCTCTCCTGGTCTGCCAGAAACCACGGTGGGATGCCACCTCACTCAGATCAGGGCGGCTGTTCTCAAGAAGAAAACAAAGGCAGCGCGTGCTCCCCAGTTCGGCCAGGGCTCAGGGGGGACCTGCGTGCTCCCCTGGGAAGCAGGCGCTGACAGCTCCAGGGTCCAGGACAGAGACATGCCCTCACTTCCTGTCACCTGTTGTACAGGTGACATCCCAGAACACCCCACTGACCCCAAGGGAGATAGAACTACAAGAGTAACTCAGAAGGCAACAATGTTAACAGGGCCAAGAGTTCCCACCAGTTTGGTGAGGAGCCCAGTTCCTTCTTAAACAGGAGAAGGCCTTCGAATGCTGGTGGCTGGCTGAGGAACAGGCACCAGAGGTGTCGCAAAAAGGGCCCACGGAGAGAGTGATGGGCTCAGGGAGACCAAACTCAAACGCTGACCTGGTCACCAAGGTAGAGGGAAACCAGTAAGCACTGGAGACCCAAGCTGCCAGTTACTGGTAGCCCACTGCACACAGCATCCCTGTCCCCCCTAGGAGAGCTCATCCCCAACAGATCATCATGGGCCCAGGGGCCCCTGACTGGCTGCTTGGGTAGGTTGTAGTTTTATTCTCAGAAGAACCGTAATGACAGGCCACTCCACTTACAGGGGCAGGGACCACGGGAGAGAGTCGGAAAGTCGGGGAGTGGAATGAAGGCCAGGCTGAAAAGAGGGAATGCCATCAAAACCTGCCCTTCCCCCACACCTTGCCCAGAAGGTCCAGCTGGAGGCCCACAGCCCAGCCCAGGGGCACAGCATGAGTGCCAGAGACGGTTCTCAGACACTGACAGCTGGGGTCCCCCACACCCCAAAGAAAACACCAGTGTCTCCCCAGGCTCGCTGGGCAGTGAGGTTCACTAGGTGAGAAGCGGGGAACTCACACACACACGAAGAATTCCACATAACCGCCCCCCCCCCGTGATATTAGTGTCGTCCTTAATTACTGGGGGGGTTACTACACCACCAAAGCAGAACAGCACACCAAACGTTATCAAGGCGAGTTACAACCAGAACAACAACAAAAAAAACTTTGGAAAGTAAAGATAGGGCGATCCAAATAAAAAGCTGAATGTGAGAGCTTGGAGGTCCAAGTTAAATAAATCTTTTAGAAAGGAGAAGAAAAAGTGGAAAAACAAAAAAAGAAAACCTAAATGAAATTTTGGAGCAAGAACAGCAAGAAGCGTGGAAAGTATCATCACAGAAGTACAAGAGTGTTCCCCAAAAAAGGGAAATAACCCAGGGCTGAGAGAATCTCCTCATTCTGACAGAAACACCTAAAACGCCTGTCAATAAAAACAATCAGGACAGTTTACCACACCCAGAAAAAACTTTAGTTTCTAGCAAAGAAAGAAAAAGACCAGGAACAAAAGGTGGGGAAACCAGGAGGGAATCCGATTTTTCACAAGAGCACTGGAAACAAGGGGCGAGCAACCCCTTCCCAGTTTCAAGATGGATTTTTCACCCTAACTTCTGGTCATTCGGGGTCACAGACGACCAAGGACTCACACTCGCTCAGTCGGCCGAGGTCCTCAAAAGCCACCCCGCGATGCATCCCGACAGGACCGGGAAAAGGAACACACGGCCGGACAGAACAGTCGCCCACTCCGGAGAGCAGGACAGAAAGTTCTGGACAACTGCTCGGCTGCCGCGCGAGCAACCCGCGCAGACCGGGGCAGGTCTGCGGCCTGAGCGGGGTGGAGGGGAGAGCACGAGGAAGCCGCTTGTTTAAGGTTAGGGAGAAATGCGAAGGACAGGAGGGTGCGGCGGTGAGAGCTTCGAGGGGAAGATCACTACCGGGCCAATAAAACCAGGCTACCAGGAGGAACGGAGACGTCGGTGTCGCGGGAGAGAAGGGCAGCAGGCGAGCGAACTCTGGCGGGGTCGCTAACACCGGTGCGACCCCACCGGGGACAAGCCAGGGCCAGCCCTAAGGACACAGGGGAGGCGGCGGGGGCCAAAGCACGCCGGCGCCGGGCCTCACCCACTCCCCCTCGGGGATCCCACAGCGGCGGGCACCGCGGCCCCCGCGCACCGCCACCCCGACCCGGCCCCGCTGGCC